AAAGACCATTTCCTTGCCTTCTGTTACCTGGACTGTGTATACAGTGTGACATACACTGGTCAATATTTATCACCATATTATACATGTTTTGGTTATTTGTTTGGAATTGCACAGTGAAAGATGGCTTCTGATTAAAAATTATTTTATTAGGGAGGATGAGACTCGGTGATACTTGTTTTCTTTTAATTTTTTTTTTACATTTATTTATTTATTATGTGTGTGTGTGTGTGTGTGTGTGTGTGTGTGTGGCCAGCTCAGCCCACCAGGGGGCGGGGCGGGCTGGCATGTGGTGCTGGGGGATTGAACCGTGGTCCCTGTGGTTTACTAAGCTTGTTCCAAGTAGGTGCTTTAGACCACTGAGCCATCTCACCAGCCCCTTTTTTTTAAATTTTTTTTTTACATTTATTTAGATACTTGTTTTCTTTCACATGGAAATTATGTCACCTCATCGCAAGAGTCAGTCCTGAAAAGAGCGCTAAGGCATCTTTGTTGTACTGAATTGGCCAGCCCTTGCTCCTCTCGGGCCTGCAATTTACAGGAGTGTCTTTTTCTTTTTTCTCTTGTTTTCTTTTTCTTTCTTTCTTTATTGCAGAACAAGGGATTGAACTCAGGACCTTGCACTTGCCAAGGAAGTGCTTCTTCCACTGAGCCATCTCCCCGGCCCTCTTTTTTTTTTTTTTTTGTATGTATTTAGTGCAAGGTCTACAGGGTCTACAGGGTCTCACTACACATATTGGACTTGTAGTGATCCTCCTGTTTTCAGCCTCCCAAGCACTGAGATTGCAGGTGTGCATCACCATGCCCCGTCTCGATCACAGAATCAGCGTGCCCTGTGGGTGGGGCTGACACAGCACACGGGGGATTGAACCCTGGTCCCTGCGCCTGTTTTAGCTGGCATTTTATCACACTGAGCTATCTGGCTGGCTCAGGAGTGTTTTCTTATATCTTTGAGGCACCAGATCTGGGGGACTAAGATGTCCTTTTTGCTAAACAATTCCCAGCCCACCTTATGGTGTCTGACTACATTAAAGGCAACCCTAGGATTTCTGATGAGGGTAACCATCATTCTCCCTCTATCCTGTAGGGCAGTCAGTAGGCAGTGCAGAGTTGCTAGAAGTAGCTGTATGAAGCTTATGTGTGTGGTGGCAGAGTCTCTTGGAGAAGGGAAAGAGGGGAGGGCATTGAGGAAGGAAGAAATTCACACTTGAGATTATGAGATATAGAGAGACTGAACTTTTACATATAAACCAGTGTCCAGATATGTGTGTTGAAGGTGGTGGTAGATAATAATCCCAAGACAAATTTGAAGCTATGTCTAGTGTTAAGGAAAACTATTAGCAATTAAAGAAACAAACAGAAGAATTGTTTTTATTTTTTTAAAGCAAACTTGTATTTATAACTGATAAAACCTTATTAATGCCATGTAAATAGGTTTCTACATTATTGAATGAATTTGATATTAATTTTGTAGTGATTTTAATTTGATCATCAAATCTGGTAATTTAATCTGGAAGACTTTTTTAAATTTTGCTGGTTTAATGGTCATCAACTCACAAAATTAAAATAATTATCAATTTACAGAATTAAAATGTGACGAGTTAGGGAAAGTAGTGATTTCTCATGCTTCTTAGTGCTTAGGAAAAAAGTTATGCTTTCCAAATGGCCAGCCACCTAGAAAGTAATGCACCTCTTATAGGCCAAAATGAATCTCTTTTATATTAAATATTAAGTATCTAGCATAGTGAATATGACCATCAATTGAACACTTTATCACATTTGGAAATATATGTCTTGATTTTACTACCAAGAAGAATTTTTGATTCTTTATATATGTATTTATTATAATAGAGGCTGATATAATAGGATGCATACTTTACTTTATCAATTTTAAAATACTTAACACCAAATAATTGAATAATAATTGGCTCTGCAGTAATACAATATAATGTTTTCTAAAAAAAATCATTACATTATGAAAATTGGACAATAAAACCTAAAAACAGGGATGAGGCACAATACTCAAACATCATCAGTGAGACATTAAATAAAAAAGATAAGATTTCTTTAAATTTTTGTGTATTTGGTACAGGGTCTCACTACACAGTTTAGACTCATGTTTTCAGTCTCCCTAGCACTGGGATTACAGGCATGTGCCACCATGCCCAGACTCAGTTACCAGCTCAGCGAGCCCAGGGGTGGTGCCAGCATGGCACGTGGTACTGGGGATCAAACCCCGGTCCCTGCACTTGCCTAAGCAGGCACTTAGTCAACTGAACTATCTTGCCAGCCCAAAGGTAAAAATTTAATAGAAACATTGATATTTACATGAGTAAATTGTTAAGAAGTACACAAATAGGGCCCAGGGAAATAGCTCAGTAGAATAAGTACTTGCCTGGCAAGTGCAGTGTCCTGAGTTCAATCCCCAGTACCACAAAAAAAGAAAAGAAAAAAAAAAAGAAGTACACAAATACTGTGAGAACTATGGCAGTTTACCTTTAAATTTGCTTGTGGAAGTGGTTGCAAAAAGGATTGCACTGATGAGTTACTGTCACTAGGAGTCAGTGTCATTATAACTTGAGCTGTGGGTGGCTGTAACTTTTCTAACCTAGGTAGGGAAGCAAGATGGCCAGTGGATGGCATGTGTTTACATCTTATGTTTTCTTATGTTGCTTTGTTTATCTGGGATCCACTCTCTGAATTTGCCAGTGAAGCAACCCTCAAATTCATTCATTCTCAAATCAACTCTATCCTATACTAATCATCTGAGGTTTTCAAACAAGCATCACCCTCACCTTGCTCTTTTCCCAACTTGCAAGTGGGAAAGTGCCTGCTTGACCATTGTTGAGAAATTCTGACCTGTTAAAAGCCAGATGGTAACTTGGAGAACCTGTATCAGTCTTGCTTGGGACTGAGTTGTTGGAAAATGAACTTTCTTCTGAAGAGGAAGACACTCATGAACAAAGGCCTGGAGAGCCTCAGAATGAGACAGTCTGCAGAGAGACACTGTGGAGGCTGCTTGAAACCTTAGTTGGCTGATTTTCATTTAGAGGCTTCAGTTCAACATTGTATGAAGTGTTTCCTCTGTGCCCCCATTTCTCTGGTCTTGTCACCTCTCCAGTAAATGGTTAATGCTTAAATACAAAAATGTTTTACTCATTGTATATATCTAAAAATCACCTCTGGGAACCCAGTTTATGATTTTGGACATGGCTTTGAGAACCATTTTAGAATATGTAGAATGTTTTAGAAATTTCTTCTTAGTTAATCTTCTCAGTATTTAGAGGTTATGTTAAGCATCAAGGCATTAGACATGAGGCCATTCAAGTGACTCTTCTTCTCTTCAAGAAGGCTGCCCCTTGAGCTTTGGGGAAAAAATGATGAAAGGAAAAGTCCAAAAGCCTGCAAATGATTAAAGCATTAACTGATATCAATGAAATTATCAGTTTCTTCCTCATTTATTTCTACCCCTAGCTATGTAGTCAAAAGGTTTACATTTATGGACGATCTCTTATAGTCAAGGGGTTGGTTAATGCTGTGGTGATATGAAAGGAAAGGCATTGTCCTTGCAAGCAAGGAGCCTTTAGGCTTCTGTTTGATGACTGAAGAACCCCATGGCTGCTGTGCTTGAGTTTTTATAGCAGAATCCAGGTGGAGGCAGTGTGCAGTAGTAATGATGGTGTGCTCTCTGGAACCAGGTAAGTTGGCAGGTATGTGTTAGCTTTTGACCAACATGTAGTGGAAGATCCTGAGTTTATCAAGGATACTAAGTGACATCTTAAAATCCTTCACTAATCCTTCATCTTTCAAGGTTTGAATTCACTTTCTTTTCACGCTAGAGATGTCTCTTCTTCACATAGCACATACACTCCGCAGCCCTGGAAGGGGGATGAGAAACACATATCCTCTCTTCAATGTTCTTTTATATATTTCAGATAAACATCAGTACAAGTGGCTGTCTTAGGGCGGATAGAAAAGTACCATGCACTGGGTGGCTTAAACATCAGAGATTTTTTCTTTATAGTTTTGGACAGTAGAAGGCCAAGATAGAAGCCCTAGACTCCTACCACACTGGCACCCTGATCTTGGGAATTGATATGGTTGTATTTGCCCCGTGATGTCATCACCACTGTGGGTTTTGCTCGTGCACTGTACAGTGCTTGCACAGTAATGAAACTGACTGCTGAGCACGTGCCCTGAAGAATGAATCCCCGTCAGAGATGTGCCTGTTCTTAAACGATGACCTTAGTTTCTCTTCCTCTAGGGCAGGCTCCCATAAGCCATCACACTGAACATTAGATTTCAGCCCATAATGCACCAAACAAGCTTATAAAATTGTGATATCCTTATTGTTTGCATTGTCTGTCTTGAGGACTTACTAAAAACATACAGAGACATTAATAGGACTTTTATAAATGTATCAGTTTTTAATAACAGTTTAACTTTAAAGTACACTCTAAGAGTGAAATAAAAAATATTCCTTTCCTTCTCTTCCCTCAATCTCATTTACTTGACAGCATAATTTTTCTCTTTTAAACCACAACTGCTTTTATGGGATTAAAATAACAGGTTATTAGGTGTGCTTTAGTCAGTTTATCCTAAACCTTTCTCTCTGTCAAAGGAATTCTTAAAAAGAAGGAAAGAAAACATTTTAAAATAAATATTCTCACTTCCAGACTCTGACACTAGCTTTAGCTTCAAGTTTATGTGTGGTAGAAATAAAAATTTGTTTTCTTGTATATAACATATAGCATAAATTCCTTGTTTTTGATGACTCTAGATAATTAATAAGTGAAACAAAGAAATCTTCCAGTCCTTGGCCAGAACTTAAAAAATTAAATATGCATTAAGCTTCTCGAGGTCATACAATACGAAGATATGCTCTGGTGAGGGCAGAGGGTTTAGAAGAAAGGAAACCTAATAAAGTCACGTGTTCCACACTTACATGTTTTATCGGTCTCAACCCACTTCTGCCTATCTCTGATTTTGTTTTATTTTCTCAGGGAAGCAAAAAAATTTGTGAGTGAAAATGAAGGAGCTCTTGGGAAAGGAAAAGGAAAGCGATGGTTTGCATTCAAGATGATGATGTCCAAGGTAAGGATTTTGAGAAGTTGATCTGGTTATGCCACGTTGGTCCCCACCAGTGGAATGTCATGTCTCTTCTGCAGGTATAAAAACTCATCTCACAGGTTTTATCCAAAAACTACAACTACAGTACACTATCAGCCTACTGGAGAGGAGGATTAAAAATTATCCATAGAAGAATGAAAATAAAAAATAAACTGACAAACACCAATTTATAGCAAGAGACTTTTGTGATTTTTATCACTTCCAAATGTAATAGATTGTGTAGACCCTTCTTATATTTGCTTCTGTCCTCTGGAAGTTAAGGGATTCAGATTAAAGTTTCTCTCTTCAAATGTCTAAACGTTGCAGGGTTATATAGCTTTTCTTAGGAATATCAACTACACATTAAATAGAAAGGAAGACTGCCTGGCAAGGTCCTGAGTTTGATGCCAGGTACAAAGGAAAGAAAGAAAGAAAGAGAAAAAGAAAGGAAGAAAGAAAGAAAGAAAGAAAGAAAGAAAGAAAGAAAGAAAGAAAGAAAGAAAATAAAAAAAACTTCATGGCATACTGATACAAATGTAGAGCTGGGGAATAAAATAAAAAACAAAGTGCCTTTTACTTGCACTAATTATGTGCCAAGCCCTGAATTAAATCCATCTATAAATAGATACTGAATTCTCACATTAAAATAGGTACATAGATGTTATTATTATTATTTACAGATATTATACCAAATGCACATTAAATATTTTCTATGAAGATAGAACTTTGTGAATAAAGTTCATAGATTTTAATTTTCATATACATACAAGTGGGCTAATTCTATTTGCTTTTTACTACTTAAGTAAATAGAACACATTCTACTTATGCTTTTGTTTCTGGCTCTTTGTTGCATGATCAGCATCATGAGATTTATACATGTTGCTGTGAAAGTTACTGTACATCTTTATTGGTATGCTATATTTCATTGGATGAAGATGTCATCAATTATTTACTTATTTATACTATTATAGAAGGACATCGGGGTCATTTGTAGTTGAAGGCAATCTTTTGAGCTTCAGATTTATACAGCTACTTAGGTGTGGTAATGTGTTCAGCTCCCACGTTACTCAGTGTACAGTACACACATGTGCGGTTATCTATCTGCTTTATCTGCTCTATCTGCATTCTTCCTACTGGTCTCCTAGACCATAACTAATCCAGCTCCATAAAGTGAAATGAGAGAAGCACTTTTTTAAAAAGTAGTTTATTTTTTCTTCTGCCTTTTCTATGATACCACACCTTTCTTTTTAACCGATTGCTCTGCTTCCATCAGAGTGTTCTGTTTCATAGAATTTACCATGTTTTATTGAAATTGCCTGTTCATGCACAATGGAGGCTAGATACCTTTCAAGGTAAACACATCTTATTGTATCTAATTATTTCTTTCATGCATTGAATACTGATTAAGCACACACTCTGTCTCTTTGTGTGTTAACTCAGTGTGTGCTCTCATATTGTTTGGTAGGATAAAAATATCTTTTTAAGTGGTCAGCATGCTTTCTAAATTAGGGTGGGAGCAACAAATATTTTTTGAATTAAAATGCTCTGGGATTGAATGACAAAGGGAGGCAAATGAAGCCTACCATTGTGTATTTTTATATAAGATCAGTATTTGGAACTAGGGAGATCTTTCTAAGTGAAGTATATCATGATTGTGTGTGTGTGTGTGTGTGTGTGTGTGTGTGTGTGTGTGTAGGTGGGATGCAGTAACTATCAGGGCAACCCAAGAGGTTGAGCTTTACTCTTATGCTTGATTTTGTTTTCAGAAATGGGCAAAATTCCTCCGTGATTTTGAGAACTTTAAAGCTGCTTGTGTTCCCTGGGAAAATAAAATCAAGGCAATTGAAAGTAAGTGTTCATCATTCCCGTTAGACAGGGCAAGTTGTCCTAGCCAAATTTTTATAAGATATATTTCTCTATTTCTGGATTCTTGGGAGGATTAAAAATAAGCAAAACTAAACAAACAATAGTGTTGCTTATTCTCCTTTTTACCACTGTGAAGATTTATGTTAGTCAGCTTTTACCTACTAAGACAAAACCCCCAAGATAATTAACTCAAAAAAGGAAAAGGTTGCTTTTGGCACATAGTTTCAAAGTTTTCACTTCATGGTCACTTGGCACTGTTGATTTGGGCCTACTGTGGTTTATTTCATCCTAACAGGAATCATGGCAGAAGAGGCCCTTCACCTCATAGCAGGCAGTAAAGGGAACAAGGTGGTGCTCCTCTCCATAGGGCCCACTTCTTGAATATTGTACCACCTCCCAGTACAGCCATGGTCTGGAGATCAAGCCTTTAATACATGAGCCTCTGAAAGAACATTCTAGAGCCAAACTAGCAATTTTCAGCGCTCACTAAGAACAATATGAGAGCCTGCACTCCCCTGTCTTCCCTTAGACCAAAGCACTCCTAATCTGACCCGGTTTTCTCTCTTAGAGAGGACATCAGTGTTGTGTTAAATAGCGTTGAGTTCTATTATTTGGAGAGTGGTGGTTTTGTTTTGGCTGTGAACATGACATTGAAAATACTCTCATAAATGTTCAATAGTAGCTAAAAAGGACAACAGAGTAAGGAAGTCTGAGAATCTCACTTGCAGACTTGCACAAAAGAATAGGCAATGGTCAGAAGTTTACTATTGAGTGTGTTTTCACTTTATACAGTATTCATAGTGCTCTCCCTCCTCTTTGAGCAGAGTTTTCATATCTGGCCCTCTGTTTCTACATTCAGAGTTTTACAAGAAGTCTGAGGGTTTGATTAGGGTCTGAGGGTATGTGAGATCATTTCTAGCATGTATAATGTAATATCTGTCTTAGACATATGGATAAGTATGTAAAATTCCTTATACTTTCGAATGATAAATTATTGAAAAATTGCAATAGAAAATACTTTTATGCTATAAAAGGCCTGTTTATCTTCTCATACATTTTTTTTCTTCATGGCTGACTCAGACCAGCCTGGGGGTGGGGCTGGCGCAGCATGTGGTACCTGGGATCCAACCGCGGTCCCTGTATGCTTGCCTAAGCAGGTGCTTTAGACCACTGAGCTATCCCACCAGGCCTCATGCTTTTGAGAATAAAGTTTTTTAAGCGTATAATCTATTTATAGAACATATACCCTATTTGTGAGATATGTGTTTAATTATAAAATAGTAAAACCCTTCTTTTTTTAAAAAAGGAAATGATTAATTAATCATACAAAAGCTTCAGAAGTATGATACTATTTCTGATCTTCAGTGTCAGAACCATCAAACTTGTATCTAATTTAATCTTTGAAATAAACTTGACATTATTGATTAATTGTGCAAATGCTTTTTGAAAGGCTTACTGATAAGTTTCTGGGTATTGTCACTGCTGACAAAGTCAGACGAAGGCTGTCCCCTCACTGAAGTTAGGTCCCAGTGTGTTAATATTTGTATAGTTGGACGAGGAAGATCACAAAACATAAAGAGATACTGAAGATGATTATGGATTATGCGAAGTGCCATGTTTAAAGAGGGGCAATTTTACTCCATTCCCATCTTTCTAATCCACCGTCTCTCATTCTCTGGTGATTTTCTAAATACTGAACTTGTTAGTCAAAGTGCGACTTTCATGGAGTCCCAAATGACCAGCTTCCACTGAGTTTGCCCAAAGGCCTGACCAATAACTGGCAGAATCAAGAGAGGTGCACAGTAAGGGTCTGATCCCATGCTGTTAGGGTCTTGATGGCAATAAGAACTTGATCTCTACCAGCCACCATTCAGCGGGCACATACCTGAAGACACCCTACAGATTTTCACTTTAAAAATTAACTTGATAATTGCTGCCACAGAGGAAGCTGTGAAGCTGTACTGTGCATGAGAAAATCCTGGGGGTTTGCCCTCCAGCCTTGCAAAGGAGTTCATGCCCCAAAGCTTCGGCCCATCCTCATGGGGCCCTCTTATCACTCATACCACACTGGGGGTTTTGCTGAAGAACCTACATAAAAATATAACCTCTCCACTTTTTTCTTTCTTTCTATTTATTTGTTTATTTATTATTTTAATTTTTTAATAGACTGCAAATTGAAAATAAATTATTTATAAACATAAGTGAATATAACAATAAAAATGAAGAAAGAATTTATAGATCAGTCATAATAGTTCACTCTGTCAAAACTAAGAAACTTATATTCATATAATTAGAATTCTCAAAGTAGAAAGGAGTAGGCAATAAATATTTAAAGATTTAAAATTTCTGAATTTAGTTCAACTTATAATACATCATTTCCAAGAAAAATGAATCTTTTTGCACAAGAAATTTAAATAGAATCATGCCAAGAAACACAAAAATGAAATTGTCTAAAACTTATTGTAAAGAAAAAAATCATTAAAGTATATACATAAAAAATATTAACTATAGAAGAACAAAATTAAATAGCATCCTATTCCACATTAGCAAGAAAAAAAAGGACCAAGTGTGTAAGAAACTAGGCTAATTAAAGGACTGAAAGAAAAGATCTGTCCTCTTTAAATTTTATACTTAGCAAACATACCTTTGAAGACTAAAAGAATTTAGTTATACAAACTTGAAATATTTTAATACCTGCAAAAGTAGCATATAGGAAATAACAAAGAGCATAATTCAAAAGGCAAGAGAAGTTGCAGTATGCTCCTGGATGAACAATAAAGAGCTCTCAATATGATAATTATGCAGGGCTATATAAAGTATATTAGATGAACCCTTATTTAAAGGTCATTGTAGATGTCTATGAAACAGTACCAATCTTTTTTTTTAATTATTTATTTATTTTT